GAGAAGAAGAAGGAGGAGAAGGAGAAGGAGGAGGAGAAGAAGAAATGCCACAGACAATTAATTATGCTATGCCAGCTCCTTTACTCTCTAATCCTACAATGTTCTTTGTCATTTTTACAGACAAGGAAACTGAGGTTTGTGGAGGTTTCTACAGTGTGTTGTTTTCCCTACCACCAAGCTCATGCCCATTACTAGGGAGCTCAGAGTATGGCCTTATTTAGAAATAGAGTCTTCACAAGATAATTGGTTAAGATGAGATCATACTGGATTAGAGTAGGTCCTAAATGCAGTAATTAGTGGTGTCACAAGATGGCCATTTGAACAGTTGCACGGGGAAGGCAGTCATGTGAAGATGGAAGCTGAGATTGGAGTGACATGTACAAGCCAAACAGTTCTAGGGACTGCCGGGAATAAAAAGCTCAGAAGGAGAGGAGGCAAAGAAGGATCTGGTCCCATACTCTTCGAGGGAGCATGGCTCTGCTAACATTAGGGTTCCAGGCTTCCAACACCAGAACTTGGCTGCTTTAAGCCATTGAACTTGCTGCAATTGGTTGCAGTAACCACAGGAGAGTAATATTCTGCCCTATGTTGTCTAAGGCTACACCCTCAGCAAACAGCCACCAGGGAATCTGAATCCTGTCTGTTGCCTCTTTTACCTCTGTGGCAATCCCTGCTGAAGGCAGAGAACCCATCCCTGGTAGAGTAAACTCAGGGAAACCATCTCTATAGAGGACCCATTCTTCCTCCCAGTGCAGGTTTCAAGACCATTCTGTGACTGGACATGGTGGCTCAAATCTGCACTCCCAGCACTTTGGGAGATGGACAGATGAAGATCAGGAGGAGTTCAAGGCCATCCTCAGCCAGCATAACTGAGACCAGCCTAAGTTATGTGAAACTCTATCTCAAAAAACAACAAAGATTTTATCTTTTGTCATGGCTACCAGGAAGCCCAGCTTGGTTGGGATAGCATGATTTCTTGCTGTGACTGGGATTGCATGATTTACTGCTGAGATATTAAGTTCAGTTCCATGCCCTTCTGTAGCCCTCCACCCTACTTGCCAGGGTCATCCAGACTGGATTCCTGTCCACTCCCAGTGGGTTACCACATGGGGAGTTAAATGTTTAGAACAGCCAAGGTGTAATTGCTGCCAATACTTAACCTGAGGCAGTTCCCACTTGGGGCCTCATATGTCCCCATCAAGGCCTGGAGACTGACAGTGTCCTCCCTTTCATACTCGCTGCCTCACATTTTTATCGCCCCATGGGCTTTGTAAGGGTGACAAGGCTGTCCTGAAGGTCCCAGGTCAGACCCTATGCCCTACATCATTCCTGGAGATGGAGTCGGCAGCGTTAGAGTCTGCCTCACCATGAGATTGCCACAAACCTGCTGCCCAGGACAACTCCAGGGAGAACGGACAGCAGCCTTTAGTTCAGTATACATAGAGAGTGGTGAGGTGAAATGACATCCCCGTTCCTGAGGCGACAGCTCTGTCTATGGGAGCTCTTGCCTAAGTCAGGTTAAGCCAGAAACAGTGCCCAAGAGCCAATTCACCTAGGCATCCAGACAGCGGGCTAAGGAAACCACACGCTGGGTTCTGGGGCCAGACACCAAACTTCCTCTTTTCCTGGAAAAAGTCCTTCAGGAAGGGTTATGGAGGAGGGGCGGGGGCAGTTCTCTCCCTGCCACAGGACTAAGCCACTGCCCAGCTTGTTTCTTTCTAACGTGGTGCTCAGCCCTCCATCCTTTCTCCTCCCCCTTGGCTCCCACTTTCATCTTGACATTCTCCAAGGTAGAATACTTAGCCTGGCTTAGCCTCTGGTCAGGATCTGGAAGGCAGCCAGGTCTGTTTCCAGCCCTGAGGGTACAGGGAGGAAGAGAGAGGGAGAGAGCGCTTACCTGGCCTCCAGCTCTGGGCAAGGGGGCTGAGAAGTCCCTGGGACACTTGGACTGCTGTGCAAAGCTCTGGCTTCCACACACTGTCAGTTCAGCAACGGCCTTGGCCCTAGGGGAGGGCAGGCTGGGTAGTCATGCAGGTTTGCCAGGGAGGAAACCTGTCGTGCCAAGGTGGCCCTAGGACAACACTGCTGCAGAAGAGGGGATGGGAGGCTGCTGAGGAAAAGGAAGCCTAGGAATTGGCTAAAAGTGGCTACAGGGCATCTGTGAGTGGTCAAGCAACTACCCATTCTGTTGATTTCTGCCTTGTCGTTAGGGTCTCAGTCCCAGAGGACCGGACTCCCGCCTGTCTCCACCTCTATTCTGGTCAAGCAACGCCTGACCCAGAGGAAGGACCCTGGCAGGCATCCCTTACTAAAATGCCCTGAAATAGGTCTCCCGCACAGGCTTCAACTAGGCTTGCACACTTGCCCAGCCAGGCATCCCAGACTCAGGCTGGACACGTTCCTTAACTAGAGGTGGGGGTAGGAGGCTAGAGGGCACCCTCCTAGGTAATAAGAGAAACTAATAACTGGGACCAGATAGGGCTGCAGCAGGCAACAGGCTTCCAGTAGGGTCTGCGGAGAAAACCCTTGGAGAGCTAGATGATCTGAGTTCAAATTTGGTCTTCTGAGGAGCCAGGGACCCCCTGCACATACTACCCTCCCCTTTTGTTAGGCAGGGAAATCTGGACCAGGAACATACGCAGGACCTGGTACCAGGCTGCCCAAGAGCTGGGCTTAGTCTGTTCAACTCTCAGGTATGGCGGTCAGAGGAGGTCGGGTGTGCTCAGCCTGCCCAGGCTTGTCTCTGTCCCCCTCAAAGCAGGAAGTGTGCATTTGAGATTTGCCAAGGCTAGGCACAGCCACACAGAGTGGACAGGTCAGATACACTTGCTCGCAGGGGGGATTACCCCAAGTGGGTGTTGGCACTGCCTAAAGCACCTTCAGCCGTCTTAAGCACTTTTTGCCCCCCCCCCCCCAGTCAGTCAGCACTGCGGTCACATGTGTGAGAGGTGCCAAATGCCACCTTGTCCTCAGCGGCTCCCCTGGCCGCCTCGGGGAAGAGCTCCAACGCCAGGTCCTTCGCGGGCGGGGCCCTCGACGGGGAAACCTCTGCCAAAGAGGAGTGCTCCTGGGCCCCACGCTGGC